TGGTTATGTTAAACTGAGTCATCTGGTCTATTCCCAATATTTGTAAGCTTTTACATATGTATCAGGCTTTATCTTTTAAGCAACTGTCATGAAATGAATAAAGTAACTTAAATGTGTGAGAGAACTGCTACTATTGGGAGTGCTAAAAGTGTTTGCTAAACAGTTCTCTGGCTTTCTATTTGTGGATGGTGGCAGTAATTTTCAGTGAAATTATTGTTTCCATAGAAACAGTATGTTTATGCTACTTGCTCTTTAATCCACTGTGGGGAGCTACTGTCTCATGTTTGAGACATGCCAAGTATTAAATGATACGCAAAACTCTGCTAAAATACAGAGCACATTTTTGGTTATTTTAATGTTAACCTTATTTGTGGAAAATTAAGGAAAGATACTATTAAAAGCATTTAAAATTCAGATCCGATAACCTCATTTGCAAACAAATACAAAATATAGATAGATGGTATAAATATCCAGACATGCTACTGATGCAAAGTTTCTTGGGGTTGCAGACCACATTTCAGGTTAAAAACAAAATATTTGAGGAAGAAGTATGTTTGTGAAGAGACTTAATAACAAAACAAAAAAAATTGTATGGGAGTCACTCTGTAATTAGGGATAAATAAGTCTTAAAAAGAAAATTCTAACTTCAGATAGTTCAGATCTGGGACATAAATTTAACTATTAAGCTTTATTCCATATTTCATTGGCATACAAACCTTTAGCTAAAAAGATACAATGTTCTCATTAATTTAATCTTCTTAAGTCAAGTCAAATATTATTAACAAATTCAGAGTAGGCAATAATGGGTTTCTATTTCACAGAGCAAGGGCCATAAACCATGGAAATGGGAAGCTATGTTTGTAGAAAAAAAAATCTAGTTTTATTCCATCCAATTTAGCTGCCATTCTGTTGTCTGTATCAGTTTGATGAACAAAATTAGTGAAAAAGAAGTTTACTTTTCATTATGGAACAAAAAATGAATAATAGATTGATCAAGCTTTCCTTCCATCTTTTTTTTTCTGTCCCCTGCAAATAAAAGCCCCGAACCTAGGTATATTTATATCATTGAAGTATTTTTGCAACTTTTTGCTTAAGTGTATAATGATGTATACATTCTATATTATCACAATAATATACATTCTAATAAAATCACAATAGTAACTTGAAGATTATTGTGATAGCTAATTAGATATTATAGCCAATTTTTAAAGAAAATGTTGTGTGGCTTATTTTTTCCATGAACATTTTCCAACCAAGTTAGAGTATTTGCATTGGAAAATGTATGGTCGAGACTCAAATGTATCCTGTGGAAATTATCATTTTCTAAGTACAATATTCCTTTGCCTAAACATTTCCCAATTTAAAAAAATCTGGAAAAGCCATGGTTTAAATTTGCAAGCTGTGTGGGGCTCTATAGAGCCTTCTTCCATCCAAAGAGCCTTAATAATGTGGATGTGTGTATCTATTTATTTTTGTTACAAAATATTGGAAAAAAGCAGGGATTGAGGTTGATTGGTAGGGTATGTGTGTCCTCCATTTGGCTGAGACTGGAATTTATTAATGGACATTATATATTGTTGTTGTGCCTTGTAATTTAAAGTGACTGAAGGAATTAGACTATAGTTGTCCAATCTTTTGACTTCCTTGGGCCACATTGAGTGAAGAGGAATTGTCTTGGGCCATATATAAAATAAATAATACAGTTAATATATATAAATAACAACCTTTACTTTTTAATATTTTTATTTATCCTGTGGGGCCACATTATGAACTGTCAAGGGCCACATGCAGCTGTGGACCATGGGTTGAGCATACCTGGGTTAGATTATGATGAAAACCTTGGCATCTATGAAAACAGAAGAGCACTTTTTCTTTCAAATATCCTGTAACAATTTACATTATTCTTCATATTAAGCATTATTTCAAATGCGCCTTTCGGTGAATATGTTGGTAACGGGCCTGGGTTTTTTATATTGTATCTGTTATAAGATTTTGTTATTCTTTATTCTACTAATTGTATGGATAGTTTAGTTTAATTTTGAATCGTACCCCCCTAGTATTTTCATTTGCTGCTGTGCGCCTGGTGTTGATTAAATAAAATTTCTCAGGATTATCACCTATTTTATTGGATATTATGCAGAATAATAAAATATCATCTGCTATTACAGACATTTTTTCACAGTTCCATTCCATGTGACTACTGAAGTCCTCCCTATCTTATCAGTATTTTCTAAGTTGTATGTTTCATATCCCACATTTCTATTAAAATCACTATTATTTTGTACATTGGATAAGTAGTGTTAATCTCAGTAACTACATGGATACTATAGATAAAAAGGTTTGATGTTGAGAAGTTCACATGAACTGCTGAGTTGTGTGTTGCTGCTGCTACTCCATCTGTATGAATAGGTGACTTATAGGCTAATCTATGAAAAGCTTCTACCCCAAGTGACTATTGTATTGCTTCAGAAGATATTGGTTCTATAAAACAGTATATATAAATGTGATACAAGGCATATTATACATTTGAGTGAGGCTAGATTGAGAGGAATTTTTTGAGGTAGTCTTTTAATTGTAATGTAAATATTTTAGGGGTTCTGCTCTATAGTTTTCTGCCTTTCTTATTTCAAAATATAGAAACACAATGTCCTCCATTTTATGAGTCATGATAAGGGAACCCTGAGTCCAAACAAGGAGCCTGGCAATTGCTGTTTGCTACCTTTGACCAAATGCACTACTTATCAGCTTATTAAGAAAGGAAGTAAAGTACTGCACAGATAACTAATAATTGAGCCTTTGTCTCTGATAAAGAGCTTGCTTTTATGTATTAAATGACAGTTGGGAATTAATGCTGTTTGGAAAAGGGGAAACCTCATTCTAAAAACCTCCATAGATATGTAATTGCTATTGATATATTAAATACAGACCTGGGCATTTTATGGCCTGTGGGCCACATCCAGCCTGGAGGCTGTCCCTATCTGGCTCACACAGTTGGCGGGGGTCTCATCAGGTAGAGCAGTGGGTAGGGTGGAGTGGGGTGGAGTCAGCGGTCCTCCACACCAGTCCCTGTGGCCCCTTGGGAAAATTAATTGCCCACCGCTAATATATACATTTCATATTTAAGATGTAGTGTTATGTGTTTGTCTCTTCATTGTCTGTAAACTTTCTAAAGCTGTTCATACTGGGAAATTCCCTAGACATGCATCTTTTCTAATACATCATAATTGTCTTTTGTTTTAAATTCCTAGGCATTATAAAATCAAATTAATATGATTGTGCAACAAGAGAGGAGGCAGGCTTAACTGTTCTCCTAACTTGTAAATAAAGAAAACTAAAAGGTCAAGAAAAAAAATCTGGGCTCTTGGACACTTAAGATTACACATAGAATATGTGTAGTTAGCGAAGGCATGAAACTTAATATAAAATTTAAATAATTAATTAGATTTAGATCCTGAGTTGCTGTGCATGAGTGAGCGAGTTTGTAAAATCTTTAGCACTTTTTTTCTTAATTGGTGATGTTGGATCAAAAACTACCGTAGCATGAAGCATTTCTAACCACCAACATGCTAGATATTTGTCAATCCATCTGTTATTCATTTGCGCATATGAAACTGAAAGAGAGATGTTTCCTAAAGTTGTCAGATCCTCCAAAACAGAGATCAGCATTTGTTGGGTGTGGCATTTGAGCATGCAAATGTACTTTTGTTAGTGCAATGCCATTATTAGATACAGGCTAAACTTCCATAAACTGAAAATAGAATATTAGCAATTACCATTGTGAGGTAAGAGATATCTGCTAGCTCTTCCTCCTAGCAATATCCTTCGTATAGTAGTTAAATATGTAGACGCTTGCAAAATACAGTAATAATTCTGCTGCATTAGATCAAAGATCTATTATTTCACAGTATATTTTCCCAGTGGCCATTCACATGCTTATCAGAAGCCTGCAAGCAAGGCATGAAGGTAGTAGGACTATTCTACCAGTTGCACATCAACCACTGCTGATTATGTCTTGCTGAACAGCTTGATATGGATCTATGGGCTTCCCACGTTTTATGTAAATATTAGGATAAGTTTTTAAATAATGTAACAATGGAAAAAAGCAATTCTATTTTTGTAACATGGTATTTAAATGGGCTTTCTTTCACTTTAATTAGATCAGATTACTTATATACTTTACATACATTTTACTGTATTAACTGGAGTAAAAAACAAATCACAATAATGTATTATACATTTAAAAGATTAAAATTTTTGAAAAATATTAGCACAATTGGCATTTTAAAATTCAAGAAATTGCACACTCCCTATAGATTGTGAATACTGATTTCTCCTTCCTTTTGTGGCCTTTGAAAAAGTTTCTGTAGAGATTGCAGAATTGACTGGCATTGCAAAATTGTACAACTCTTTTAATATTTTTCCCATCATGGGAGATTAAGTCTGAATCCATTCCTATTTCAGTAGTCTTCAAAACATGCCTATAAGGTAGACCATTACTTTTAGTCCCCATTTGAGGAAAGAATACTGCTGCCAAGGGAATGTACAGTATATACTTGAGTTGAATGAATTTGCAGAATTGAACTTCTCAACCAGATTACTGTTTTTTCTAACTAGTTTAGTAGTATCAGTTCTGGTTGTGATTTCTTTTTGAAGTGCTAGGCAGGGGTCTTTCCCTTTCTCCAAAGATTACTTTTTGAAATAGGTTATATCTCGAACTTCAACTTTGGAATATACGTTTTCTATTCCACTGTATCATGGCTTGTACCAAAATATCTTACCTTAACCACTTGGTAAGTATGTTGCTGAAATGAAGTTTGGACCAAGAACATTTCAACTGGTGCTCTTAGTAAGCATTTTTCAGCAATCTTTCACAGTATTTGTGTCTATACTTTGATCATGATATATAACAACTGATAACGTCTTCCCCTGTATGTGAAGTTTGGAAAACTGGCAACTTTAATGTAAAATTGATAGTCAATTTTCTTTTCATTTGTCTTCAGTGCCACCTGGAGTGATACAAAATGGAGCTCGCATTCTGAGTAGAGGAATTTTCCCAGGAGTTAGACCACTGCCAATAAACCCTATTGGAAACATGGCTGCAGCAGTAAGGTAAGAATTCTCAAATGCAATATCAGTAGTACTACACTTAGTTGCACAATGGACTCAGTTGGATCTCCTATGTAATTTGTATTATGTCCCCAAGATTATACTCTCTGTGAAAGCCAAGAAAATCAAGAATCTTCAAATAAAAACTCTAAAAGGGCTCTAATATATTTTTAATTGATTTTGTACATTTGGAGGCATGTAAACGTGACTTAGACTCTTCAATTTATTTTCAGGTAGACCATGAGAAGACATTTCTCTGTGACTTTAAACACCTGACATAAGAATCAATGTTCAGATTCATACACAATATTCACCTACAAATGAATAAGTTCAACTTGTCCATATTTGTCATAGCATATATAAGATGCAACCCTTCCATCAGCAATTGCAACTTTGGCAAAATATTAAATAGAAGTCTGCATTTTAAATTTTTAAAAGCTGTATTGGATTATAATTGCTTATAGTTATTGGACTATATCGAGGCCCCCAACCTTTTGGGCACCAGGGACCGGTTCTGTGGAAAAAGATTTTTCCGCGGATCATAGGGGGCGTGGTTTCGTGTGCTGCCTGCATCCCGTTGATGGGGCTTTGCTTGTTTGTGCGGACCGGTTGCTGGCATGCCACGGCCTGGTGCCGGTCCATGGACCGGGGTTGGGGACCCCTGGATTATAACTTAAGTTTGTTCCTATTTGCCTATTTTACCATTTCAGTATCATTAGTCAAATCTAATTAAGAAGATGGCAGTCCCATGATCTATGTGACTGTAACATTATTTGTGTACAAATGGCTTCTTTGGTTGCAGCATGTGAAAATACAGAGTTTATATTTTAACTGTTATTGAAATTCTCCTAGATTATACAGTATATGTTTCTAATGCAATGCATTTTACAGTTGTAACTTGCTTAAGCCATTTATAGTCTGTTTCTTTTGCATATAGTATTTGAATGAATGAATTATGTAGCCAGTTTTTGTAACCATTTTATGTTTGGCTGTCCAAATCAAGTTACAATAGATTGAGAATTATTTTGATAATGTGCATTACTCAAAAGTATTAAAACCAAGAGAAATTCATCACTTGACACAAAACATAATGGAGATCGTGCCATTAAATTTCCTGTTGTCTTTTAAGCTTAACTACCTAAATAGATCTTTTGTTACAGACTAATCTGTAAATGGAAGTACAGTAGTTTGTGAATCATCATTGTCTGGCACTAAAGTTACACAATGGAAGATAGTGCTTTCATAGTAACTCTTAATTTTATTCACACTTTTTTTTATCATTTGCCACCAACATTTTTTTCTTCAGTTTCTTTTTTAGAAAGACAAATTACTTCCTTAACTGGAAAATCAATACTAAGAATGACTTCAAAACAGAGTTACACTTAGCAGTCTTAAGACGGTATGACATCCCTAAATCCCCTGCTTTTGAACATCTGAACTTCCTCTCTGTCTATGAGTTTTGAACAAATGCAGCACAGACTCATGTTATTCTGAAGTAGAAAACACGTGTTCTAGCCTACCTACGTCCTTGTTACTTCACAAAGACAACCCCTCTTTTAACAGTAGACTGGAAAATAAACCCTTTTTATTTGAGTTACAGACCTGATAATTGTCCCAGAAAACAAAAGCAACAGAACACTTTTCCAATGGAGACCTTGTCCAAAAGCAAAATGGAGCACAAGTCAAACAGGAAATAACTCACAGGCAAAATAAACAGACCATGATCTCTTGACTCTGAAGTTCTTTGCAAATGGTTGCCTACAGCAACCAGCCCTGCCCACACATTCCCTTTTTGTTAAGCAGCCCCCAAGGCGTGGCTTCTCACTGCTTTCTCCTCATCCCCTGGAGTTGCCCCATAGCCTCCCGCTGTCCTACTCGTGTGACCTGTCTATGTTTACGAGCGTCTCTGAGGTCTTCCAGCTGTACTTCCTCCGAGTCCGACTCAGCTTCCCAGCACAGCTGGCTCTCAGCTTGATCACGAGTGGAAGGATCAGCCTCTTCATTAGTTTGTAAGTCCTGCAGCTCATGAGAGCCTCCCTCCGACTCTGATGGCTCTCCAGGCCCCTCCTCCTCCTCCTCCTCCTCCTCTGATTCCCCAGACTCAACTACCAGGATCACAGGCTGGCACGGAATCACAACAACACATGGAAATTGTATTAAAAGCCCTAAAATAACAGACTGCAGTTAAACATTGCAAAACCCTCTCCAACTCCTCCCAGTCCTGATCACATATATAACATTTCCCCTCTCATTCTGAAGCAAGCAGCCCACCCTCCCAAATGTAAATATAGTGACCCATCATGACCAAAGAGTTGTCCACTCCTGCTTTAAAGTGTGGCAACCTGAAACTGAAGAGCCGTGTGGAGCCCTCATGCTATGTAGAATCATAAAGTTGGAAGGAGTAATTCAATTTATTGAGTCAAATTCCCTGCTTATTGGAGTTAACCAAAGCATTCTTGAAAGATGGTTGCCTAGCCTGGGTTTGAACGTGGTGTATCCAGTTAAAGAGGAGCCTACCATCTGAAACTAAAAGTAATAAAGGAGAATTTTTGAAGCTCAGGTTTGACATGGGGGGTCCCTTGGTGCTCTCTGAGCTTGCTTGTTTTCTTGCAGACGTTTCATTACCCAAACTAGGTAACATCATCAGTGCAGAAAATGAAATTAGAGATGACTTTCAAGAAGGTGAAAGAACAGATAAAAGAGTGACTTATAGAATAGATGACACAGTGCAGAGACTGAAGAAAGAAACTCAAAATAATCCCACCTTGATTTTGTTTATTATAAAATTGGAGAGAGAAAAACAGACATGCTTTCAAGATTACTGGATTGGAAGAATCCAGTTACTATATGCTGTTATTATAAGCTACAACAAAAAGCTGCATTCCAGGAATCCATGCAGTGTTGATGTCTTAACTGACCTACTTCAGAATGCTGAGATCAGCTGTATGGACAGTTGGGTATCCTATCAAAAATCTCTTATTGTTAGGATTTGGGGGGGGGAGATCAGCTAGAACAGTGGTGGCGAACCTATGGCACGGGTGCCAGAGGCGGCACTCGGAGCCCTCTTTGTGGGCACACGTGCCATTGCCCCAGCCTCACCTCCACCAGCGACCCCCTCCTCTCCAGCAGCCCCCCTGAAGGAGAGTCGCCCCTGAGCGTGGCCCACGCGGAGCAGCGCAGCCAAGGACATGGCAGCCAGGTAGTGTAGACAAGACTCTGCCCTCACACCCCATTGTACACAGTTGATGGTGCAGGGCACGGGCAGAGGGTGTAGCTGCCATAGCGCTGCTGGGCTGCCTGGGCGATCTGTGGCGGGCCCTGGAGGCGGTGAGTGGGCAGGTGGGGTGGGGGATGGGGGCAGAGCAGGGGCAGCGCAGGGGGTGGAGTGGGGCGGGGCCAGTTTTTGGGCACTCGGTCTCTAAAAGGTTCGCCATCACTGAGCTAGAATTTCCCTTCTCATAACTTAAATCCATTAATTTGTGTTCTGTAGTATAGAACAAGAGAGAGCAGATCTTGCTCTTCTTCTGTGACTTTCTTCAGTTATCTGAAAAGTGCTGACGTTTTATCTCCCCTCATTCTTCCTCTTCAGGTCTAACACTTCTTCCCCCCACACACACACACATGCTTCTTCAAATTCTTTTCAAAGGACAGTTTCCAGTCCCCTAATCATCCATGTTGCAATTTTCTGAACCTTTCCCATTTCTCTAACTGCTTCTTAAAGTATGAGGACGGAACTGAACATGGTACCTGAAATAGGGCCTGTCCAAAGTAGAATAAAATAAAATTTCATGTTAATTGGAAACCATACTTTTGTCAATATTTATGTTCTCATGTATATACTGTCTTTATGCCTGAAAAGAACATCAGGCTTAGTCTTCTCATGCATATTGGAGTTCATAGGATAGAACCCGAAAAGGAAGGAGTGAAAATAAAGGAGCAAAACTGAATGCATAGAAAGTAGAATAAATGGGATAAACTTTTATAAGTTATCTTTCCATTGCCCTTCGAGTTTATTTGCTTTTTGTTTTCTTTTAAATTTTGTGTTCTATTTATTATTTTATATTTTTTTTTAATTTTTTAATTTTTATCGGGTGATGAACATGTGTTCAAAACATGTTTAAACTCAGTTACTGATGATTAACTCACTATCTCTCCTGGAAGTTGGTTCCAAGCTTCTGCTCTTTCTGTGAAGTAATACTTTCTAACATTACTTTTTAACTTACAGCACCTCCTCTCAGCTTGAGGTTATGCCCCCGTGATCTTGATTTATGTTTAATATTGATAATACTGCCCTCTAGAACCTTAATCACATCCTTAATATATTTACAGGTTTCAAGTATCTGTAGTCCTAATGTTTTAAAAAAAAATCATTTCCATTTTTTTTTCTGCAGCTCCTATGTGAATCATGAAAAAGATATGAGGTCTTAGTTGCTGCCTGGAGTGGGCATTGATGTGGGCCTTGGATCAAAATATTCCTTTTCAGCCTCTCACAGTTGTGCACCAATTGTACTGATTTGTGGACTGGGAGCATCTGGACAGTTATTCATATTTTTGTCAGCTTATGAGGGGAGTATGCAGTGTGTTCTATGTGGCCCTGTTCTTGAAGATCACTAGGAAGCTGCAGAATACAGGAACATAAACCATCACAGGCATGCTGTGATATTCCCATGTAACACTTCTGTTCTGTGAGCTAAACTAGTTACCAACAGGCTTCCGAGTGCTTTTTAAGATGCTGCACATCATCATAGATAATATACTTCATGGCACAGGACCTACTTATTTGAAAGACTATCTGTTTTCTATAATATCTGTATTTGATCTGACAGGGTTGGCATGCATTGGGTCCTATTGATTAAACAGTGCCATTTGATGAGACCCTTCCTATGAAATTGGACAGCCCTACAAATGTGATAAATAAATGCATCTCTAAAGTTCTCCTGCCAGTTTCTTCCCAAGTACCGCTTTATAAAACCCTAGTAAGACCACACCTGGAATACTGCAAC